AGAGAGAGAGAGAGAGAGAGAGAGAGAGAGAGAGAGAGAGAGAAAGACAGAATGTGCTCCGTGGGGGATGATGGCGAAACTCCTGCGAGCAGTCAGTCAACTTGGTTGGCTGGCCCGGTGTGTGTCGGTTAGGTTCGTGCGCCGCCTGACTGCCTGGTCCAGACGCGATAAGGCACGTCCGACACTTCCACTGGGATTCTGCTCGGGGCTGATATCATATCCGCCCGCGCCGCCGGGGCATCCCCGACGCTACGCCGTTCGAGGTGTATTTCGCGATAGTCACCCGCACACCGCGTGTACTTACGGGGTGCGGCTTACGACCTGGAGCTCGTCCTCGGTGTACGTCCGCCTCTCCCCTCTCGCTACCGAGGATCTTCTCCTAAAACTGAAGGGCTCACGATATCAGGCATTAACGGGAGAATAGTTAGTGATGCGTTTCGGAATCTCAGGACGTTATTTAGTTTTATAGATGTACCGAATATACAGTTAAGCCCCTTTGAAAGCGATGTTTAATTTAATTACTGACATGGTCTTTTAGGATAACAAAATTGTCCTGCGGCTCTTCCATTTCCATAAACGTTAACTGGGTCATTTAACGTTTTTGTTTTTGTTTCTGTAATAATTGAAATTAATCGAGGCTTTGTCTTTGTGTAATTCTGTTTTGGAAAGAAGATAGGAAATGAAATTAAACCACAGCTATAGCGTTTTTCGATATTTATGGCATAACAAGACCAGAAAAAGATTTATCAACAGAAGTCCAATGATTTTTTTTTATTGAAGTTTAGGGGAACGGCCCGTATACATCTTCTCTCCCCTCTCTGCGTTTAGCCAAGTTAAAAAAAGACATTCGGCATCGCGTGACGCGTTAAATTTCAAGTGTGCAACCGATCAAACGGAAACAGTGACCAGGATGAAATCCGAGGATGACGTTCTCGGTACTTAAGTGGTACGCTTGTCGGCGAGATGAAATCGAACACATGGAGTCGCGAGATGTCGGGATCGAATCGGCGGGGAGAAGACCCGCGAGAAGAAGGATGCGAGAAAAACGGCGGCGGCGGCGGCGGCGTCGGCGAAAGGGGCGGAAGAAAAGGGAGCTCTGTTCGGGATGAGGGAGAAAGAGAACGAAGGAGAATTCGAGAGCGGGAAGACCGTGGGTATATATAGGGATTGCGATCAAAGCCATCTGTTGCATTGTCCCGGCAATTAGGAGGCGACAGCT